TAAATTTAATTTTAAAACATTTCCTACTTTCAGACCATACACATGAATCTCTTTTTCTCACATTTCATTTGCTAGCACTTCAGTAGGTCTACTTTGTAGCCTTAGCTGATGCCTATCATCGTGACCCTTTGGCATTATACTCTTGAAATATTTTCTTGGTTCCTGGAGGAAATATGAAGTTATATTCAATATATTTATTTTGGCATATTCAGAATTACAGAATCTTGGAGACGGATGAGATATTATACCCCATCGAGTCCAGTGGGCCATCCAGTGTTTGATTCCCCCCATGTTAGGCTCTAGGGCTGCTGTAACAAATTACCACAGACTTGGTGACTTAAAGTAGCAGAAATTTATTCTCTCATGGTCTGGAGGCCAGAAGTCCAAAATCAAGGTGTCAGCAGGGCACCGAAAGCTCTATAGGGGAGATTCTTTCCTTGCCGTTTCCAGCTTCTGCTGGCTCCAGGCCTTCCTTGGCTTGTGGCTGTGTAACTCGAATCTCTGCTTCCATCTTCAGGTGACCTTCTCCTCTTCTCTGTGTCTCTCCTCTGTGTCCTTATAAGGACACTTAACTGGAGTTAGGGCGCAACTGGATATTCAAGGATATTCTAATCTCTAGATTCTTACCCTTTTCCCAAATAATGTTGCATTCACAGGTTCTGGGTTTCCAGATACGGACATATGTTTCGGGGGAACCACCATTCAGCCTACTAGACCCCTGAATGCATGGGGGTTTTTTGTTTTGTTTTTGTTTTCATAGATGTAGTTTTTCGTTTTGTTTTGTTGAGGTTTTTTTTGTCACACAAAGAGGGAGAGAGGAAGTGATGGGACAGGGCCCAGTGTTGTCCCCCAGAACAGCTTCTGAGGCAAAGGTTCATCTGGATTCATTTTGAAAAAGCAATTTTGGGGTCCGTGTTTCAGGAAATTCTCCAGGCTGTCAGTCTTAGTGCAAACAGCTTAAAACAAAAACCTCCCTTCTGTTCACCACTCAGGGATCTAACGCAAAATGCAAAACAGACCTGTTTGGAAAATGCCTGACCTTAAAACAAGAGTGAGGCCTTTAAAGATGCATTACATACAGAATCTCCCAGGAATCAAGTCTGCTGCGACTTCACAAAACCAGAAGCCCAGAATAACATTTCCAACTGTAGAACTCCTGGCTAACAAAAAAAGAGGAGGATCACAGAAGACAGGCAAGGGGTCCTACCCGGACACCTGCCTCTTCGTTTTGTTCTGAACAGACTCATAAACTGGAGCGTAGAAAAGCGGCCTCGGGGGTGGGAGCAGATGCTCGGTGGTTGCGGCTCAGTCTCTGGGGAACAGAGGGGCGGCTCACTGTTTGCTCGCCTCTCTGCCCAGCCTCCTTTCTGGCTGATCTCTGCTGGTCCCTGGGATCCCTCCTCGCCCAGCACCCCCCATGCCATGGCCCTTCTGTAGCTTCTGCTGCAGGCCACCACGGCCACGGCCCTTGGCCGCCACCATTGGGGATGCACAGGTACTTGATGGTGCTGCTGCGGATGTAGCACTCGGGCATCAGCCAGAAATTGTCTCTGTCCCTGGACTTGCAGATCACCTCACGCAAGTTGATGTTCATCCAGTTGTCACAGCTCACTAGATGCCCATTGTATGCCTCCCCGTTTTTGAGCTCGACCAACAGTGGGTGATTCTGAGCTGTTTTCAGCAGCCACAAGTGAAGCATGGTGCCAGCAGGGACTGGGCTCCCCGCCACTTCCACCACAGCCGCCGCAGCTCACCGCATGGTTATTATTGGTTGACCGGCCTCTGCTTAGCTTCCTCTACTCAAGATCTTTTGGATTTTGACTAATTCTGTGGTGACATCAACTTTCCTGTAACTTTTTTGCCATCAACTTTGGGTTTTCCTGCTTGATGCCATGAGAATAAAACCAGCTTTTTTTCTCTCTGAAAGTCCTTCATTTGTTGTCCATGAGACTTCTGCCCTTCAGGCTAAACACCTGTGGTTCCGTCAACCATTTCTCTCAAAACTATGGCTCCCATTCTCCTATTCATCCTGGGTGTTCTTCTCTAAAGGACCCAGTGACAATAGAAAGAATACTGAGTGTATAACTGAAGACCTAATGCTGAGGTGTCATATCTTTTCCACTAAGTAGGTGACCAAGGCAAGTTAGTTTCTTTTAAATAACAAAAGCACTGGACCACTCTGCTTCACTGCATGCTTTTTATAGTCAAATGAGATTATTACAAAACCTATAAGAAACATAACCTATAAGAAAGGTTCCAGTTATTTATTTGTATGCTTCTAAAAAGAAATATTAACTCCCAGAACTAAACGTAGATCTGTCAGTATCATCTGACACAGTACTAAGTATTGATAGTTGGCACTAGCACGTTCCCTGGTTATCTGCTCTCTTTCTGTTAATACAGCCTGGGATTACATTGGCTTTTTGGTACTCATGTCATAATTTTTTAATCACACGGAAATTACTAGGTACTAAAGAGCTCCAAACCATCTTCACAGATAATCTATTTATTGCTTTCTAATTCATTGACTTTTACCACGTAGGGTCAGTGAATTTTTCAAACAACTTGGAAATATAATTTAATTTGGAAAAGAATTTAATATTGCTCATTTTAATTGCATTTTCTGTAAAAGTATAATAATAGGAAATGTATACTTATTCCTCTAGTTATTGAATCTAATACTCCCTTAAATTAATTCTGTTTATGGTGCTAAGGACATTTTTCTGGCTGTACTTGAATGACCACATTCTTATCTAAACCTTCTGCAGTCTGCTAATGAGATTCTCTATGTATATTGAATTAAGATGCCTTTGATTTGTATCTTATGTCCTGATGGTAATAGGTTTTACCCTTTTAGATGGATTTCATTTTTCTAGATTGCTTAGTAGATCTATAAATCCATGTACTTTCGCAGAGTAAGATGACTGTGTAATGGTTGGAAGCTATTATACTGTTCAACTTGACATGACCCCTTAAGAATTTGAAAGCAACATAAGATGTGAACTCTGTCCTAATATTTGATCTGTCTTAAAGTTTCCCTATTAGAACCTTTGGCTCTAATCACTCTTTAGATTTGTTTTAATGGTACATACACACCTTGGGGCTCTTTCTTTCTATAAAGAAGCCCCAATGAAGTAATAAAGTCAATGTCATAAGATCCATTCATCAGGATTCAGAGGCTTGGTTTTCAATGTATGCTTATTTCAGTTTACTTTTCCAACATTTGAAACAGTTTCTGCATTTATAACTTGGAAATGGAGATATTTGTGAGTTTGGAGAGCTATGCAGATAGTCTACATGTAATGGTTTATAGTATAACAACTATACAGCATAGAGCTTTAGGACTCTAGTAAATTTCTTCATACTTGTCCCTTTGTTGATATATCCTTTCAGTTAGGTAGTTTCTTTGCAGGCTACCCCATACAAGTTTGAAGGATTCCCAGATACCCTGTAAAAGCCTGGTGTGTTACACTTTACTTATCCCGAATTTGCTTTGCTGTCATTTTAATGCATCTCAATTTAGGGCCAAACTGTATGTCCTAGTTTAATTTTTATAGCTTCAATTAAATACAAAGCTATATCTTCTTGATGGGTGTATGAAGCATTTGGTGTTCCACTGTAGAGAATACAGACAGATCATGACTTTGCTCGCTCCCCAGTGCCTGTAATTTTACAGTACGACAAATTTACCTTTTGGACATTATGTAATCAGCAACTCGAGAATTTAATATAAAGCTTTAAATTCTGTTTCCTTTCTTTCATTTTCCCTAGAAAACAGTATCCTCCAAGCATTATGGAATGTATCTTTTCCTCAGACAATTAAAACACAATTGAAATTAAGAATATCCAGTAATTGGACTTCCCTGGTGGCGCAGTGGTTGGGAATCCGCCTGCCGATGCGGGGGACGCGGGTTCGTGCCCCGGTCCGGGAGGATCCCGCGTGCCGCGGAGCGGCTGGGCCCGTGAGCCGTGGCCGCTGGGCCTGCGCGTCCAGAGCGTGTGCTCCGCGGTGGGGGAGGCCGCGGCGGTGAGAGGCCCGCGTACTAAAAAAAAAAAAAAAAAAAAAAAAAAGAATATCCAGTAATTGTCACCTACCATTTATTTCTGTAAGGTTATGTTATTCTTAAGAATAGTCAGATATTGCAAAACTAAGGAAAGTAAAGTTTCTTCTTGACCCTGTCTAAGTTGTGATTGATCTGTTTGTAGAGAAATCTGTTGCAGAGGCCAAAATGCATGCTTGGTCTTGAGAATCGGGAAAATATGACTAGAACATAGATATACTCTAACCTTTTCTTCTTCATTTGCAGGAGTAGGAAAAGGGAAATAGTGAAGGAAACTTACTCCCTAAAATAACTCATCACTTTTATAAAGATCTACAGATCTCATGCCTTTGTTGCTTCAGTGAATCAGGTTAAAATGGAAAGTCTTATGAGAACTCTATGGCATGAGTACATTGCCTTGGAGAAGTAACATCCAAATAGCGACCCCTGCGAATGTGAATGAATTTTTGATGAATTTTTGCTTATTGGTGCTGTGGATTTGACTAGCCACCTCAGAAGCAACAGATACCTTAGATATCGCTTTCATGTCTGATATTTTTCTTAATCTTCTGTCCCTTTAAGTAGAAGTTGAGATGTCAGGTCCAAAGTATAAGAGGAAAAAAAATTCTAGGATCTTAATCTCAGGGTGGTAGGTTTATGATATATAAATATGAGACATAGTGGCCTCAACTCCTTGAGAATAGTGGGTCACTTTCTTACATATTTGTCCCTTATTGTATGACCTGTTCAATTTTTTCTTCTAAACAAAGCAGCCATCATTCTGATTTGAGTAATGTTATGAAGATATTAAGATAATAGGTTACAATGACTATATAAGTGACTTAGTCCAAGTCTTCAGATGTTTATGCTGTATGCAGGCAACTTCTGCCTTTGTCAACAACTTGGAGGTTGTTTTACTCAAGTTTTTTAAAACTTCTGACCCTACTTTACCTTTTTTAGGTTTCCATTATACCCAAAAGGAGGGGAGAAGTTGCAGTTTGATTACGGTGTCTATCTTCTGAACAAAAACATAGCACAGGTAAGTAACTCCTCTTTACTCCCCTCCTACTTGCCACATGCAGCCTGCTTCCTTGGATCTCTGACCCTCTTTATGAGTAAGTACTACAGTTGACTCCTATTGAACTAGCTACAGTGATAATGCAAAGTTCTTTTTTGGCCACAGTCCTTTTCTGTGCCATTATAAATACCACAAAGAAGCAACGTGTACAGATTGCAATCCTCCGGCTAAACTCAGAAGCCATTTACTGAATTGTTACCTGCTAGTAGACTGTACTTGAATGTGTGGGCTTTATAACCTCTTGCCTCTACAGCTTGACTGATAATAGCTTTCTTCTCACACAGCTTTCTTCTCTTAGACCACTTCTGGGGGCTCATTTTGATTGGGAGTTTACGGAGTAAAGGTTTACTGACTTTGGCAAGTCCCTAATAGTCTCCTCATCTATTATCTAGGGCCCCAAAGAAAAGACCAAGCACATGGTCCTTCCAACCCAGCTTGGATTTTTGTGGCTCTCCTAACGTCACACCAGTTCGTATCTCACTTAATGCCTTTCCACATGCCATAGAAAGGCTATCAGATGCTTGGGTTTGCATTTTCCTGAAAGAAATATATAGCATTTCCTTAGCTCACTTGGCTCTACTTCAAGAGGTAGACATGCTGTAAATTTTCTAGTTGTAAAGGAAGATCAGCTTCAGCGCCTTGTTTTTATTTGGACATCCTTCCAATTGGAATATCACATGGATGAGATCCCACTGTTTGGCTGTTCTTTAGTGACATTATCAGCTGTATCCTCAGACCTTTCCTTTTTATAGAAGCAGTAAGGTTTGTGATGCTTTTGTTTTTATGAGCCTGCGTTGCCTTTTATCTGTATGATTCTGAAGACTCACTGAACAATTCCCATATTCATTTCTGATGGATCTAGAATAATTCCTCCATGTGGTGTCATCTTTGCCTTTCTTCCCCTCATCTAATCTCAGTTTAATGTTTTTTTAAAAATTGGTTTTTATTAAGACTCTTATACTTTTCTGATACTGGATCAAATTTCTAGTTTGCAGTCCTCGATTAATTATTTGCTTGTAACCTCACACTCATACTGCTTTTATTGTTACTGCCATCCAACTTATGTTCATTGCAGGCAAGCAGCCTTGCTCACAGCCCCTGGCCCATGACTCATCTTTCCATGTGCCATTCTTCCCACTGATGATTTCCATCCCTCCATTTTTGGCAGAAGAGTATCTCAGTCTGGGAAACAGGACCTTAATTTCAAGGATACCTAGCTCACATTACTGATCACAGATGTCATACCATAGAGAAGGTAGTACTTAGACAGAAAGGGTCAAGAAGGGGCCAGACTAAGGATACATTAAGGGAGAAGAGGTCTAAGTAAATTAGAGAGTACCTCCAGTGAAGTCAGCCAAGGTGGAAAAGAGTACCTGGAAACTGGGGTCCAGAGTGTGGGAGTCAGGATGTCAGGCAGGTTGGCCTCATTTAGTAGAGCTAAGTTCTGATCAGAGTTCAGAGACTCTTCTTTCTCTCTCTGCCCTATTTCCTGTTTCTTGCTTTAAGCACCTAAGGCCTAAGATCAGAAAGAAGTCTGTTGGAAGTTTCCAGGTGAAATCTACTCCTAATTAAGGCTAGGGCTGAAATCCCTGGATTTCCTCATAAATCCCAGCTTCAAACACACACATGCACATGCACACACACTTAATTCTTTCTTCTCAGGGCCCAATAGGAATGGCAAAGTATGGTATAAAGGGGTGCTAAGAATAGCCCAGCTTGCTTTGAGAACAAGACCAACAGGGAGGCTGACTATGTGCAGTGGAAAATTTGGGACAGCCAGCCCTTCACATCAGACTCAGCTCTAGCCCTGTTTGGTCCTCATTTTAGAGCACTTCCCAGGTAGCTTCTGATTTTATTCTTAACTGAACCAAGGCCACGAGTATGCGGAACTAGTTTTATTCATCTGTTTAAAAAATGGATTACTTCTAGTAATTTTGTATCCTCTGCAACTTTATACTCTTTGAAATTGAGAGATTACATTTGTGTGTGTGTTTAATGGGTTAACCACACAAACACTATAGGGAGCAAGTGTCTTGCTCTCTGTAGTGTTTTTTCATCACTGTGATGGCAGTGATGGAGATGACAGTGAAGGAGATGACAATAAACTTCTTATAAACAGACTTTCTTAGGTTTCAGGGTTCATTCAGAAAGCCTCTTCTGAGCATTTAGAAAGAAACTTTTAGCAAATTTGTGACCTTCAACTTTTTTCACTTTAACTCCATTTTGTCTTTAGCTTTATTATTACCATCACTTTCTTACATTTCAACTTATAACAAATCAAAGAACCATTAAATATTATGGCTCCTAACCAGGTATTATACTAATAAGATATTTCCAACTTGTGAAGGTTTGTTTTTATATACATATATACCAATACATGTTGTCAAAGGGGAGTTTGTCTTCTCAGTCAGTCCCATTTAGACTCTAGAGATGTGAACAAATCATACTATTAAAATGGTCCCACCTCAGTAATTTATAAGCCACATTAGTGGAGGTGGATGAAAGCATTGGCATGTGTTAAAGTGCCAGAGAAAAAGGAGTGAAGTCATTTAATACTGCGTCCATAACTTGGTTGAGGATTTGAATAGTCAATAGGACCTTTCATCACAGCCAGAAATAGTAGCAAAATCACTTTTTTGGTAGAGGAAATGACAGAATTTAGTAATATTTGTTACTTCAGTATTTGGGATCAGTCCAGCTCAAGTTTTGAAAGCACAAGCTTAGAAAGACAGGCCTTCAAGTAGAATTCCTCAAGTGTTGTTTGAAGAGCTGAGAGGGTTGGTAAGGTCTGCTTGCCCTCTTCTTGTCACTGTTGTCTAAAGGGGTGTGTGTGCTGGGTTGGGTACTGAAAGGGAATAAAGCAAAATACCTTGTTCTTAGCACCACTTACTAATATTTTTCAAGTGCCAGCCCCTTTGGCTGGAATTAGTCTTCCCTGTTGGGCAGCCTGCAACACTATAGGCATGGGCCTGGTAAATTTCAGGTACAGTGTAATTATTGTTGATTTAAGAAACCAGCTCCTGCCATAATTGTCAGTAAGTTTATAAGGACATTATATTAGTATCTGTGTATAGCACAGTAGTTTGCTTTTAGTTCCTAGAGCATAAAAAGTAGTAAATCAAAAATTATAATACTTGTACCGTATGTTTGTGGAAAGCTTTATAGTTTATGATATACATACATATATATCCATGTGACCCTCATCATCACCCTGCAAAGTGAAAAGGGCAGCATTTGATCCAGCATTTCCACTTCGGGGTATTTGTCCAAAGGAAACAAAAACACTAACTTGAAAAGATACCTGTACCCCCCATGTTTATTGCAGCATTATTTAAAATAGCCAAGACATGGAAATAACCTAAGTGTCCATCAATGGATGAATAGATAAAGAAAATGTGGTGTGTGTACGTGTGTGTACATACACACACACACACACATACACAGTAGAATATTATTCAGCCATGAAAAGAAGGAAATCCTGGCATTGGCAACAACATGTGGATGGACCTTGAGGGCATTATGCTAAGTGAATTAAATACCATATGATCTCACTCATGTGGAATCTAAGTTAAAAAAAAAAAAAAAAACCAAACTCATAGATAAAAAGAACATATTGGTGGTTATCACAGGTCGGGGTAGAGGGTGGTAGAAATGGATGAATGTTGTCAAAAGCTACCAACTTACAGTTATAAAATAAGTCCTGGAGATATAATGTACAGCATGTTGACTACAGTTAATATCGTATTGTATATTCAGAAGTTGCTCAGAGTGTATATCTTAACAGTTTTCACCACGAGAAAAAAGAAAGTTTGTAACTATGTGTGGTGATGGATGTTGACTTATCGTGGTGATTATTTCACAATATATACATACATCGAATCATTATGTTGTATACCTGAAACTAATATAATGTTATATGTTGCAGTATATTATGGGAGATGAACTAATGGATTGAATGTGGGAGATGGAGGAAAAGGAGTAATCAAGAATGACTCCTAGGTTTTGTGTATGAGCAACTGGATGTATGAAAATGCTGTTTATTGAGATGGAGAAGGGTCCAAGAGACAGGGGTTGGGAGAACCAGAAGTTCTGCTTTGGAAATTTTAAGCTTGAGTTGCCTTTTAGAAATCTAAAGCAGAGTCATCAAGTAAGCAACAGAATATGGTTCTGGAACTCAGGGTGGGAGGTCAGTTACTAGAGGTACAAATTTGGTAGTCATCAATATAAAGATGATGTTTAAATCCATGGAACCAGGTGCGATCAACCAGGAAGAGAGTGCAGAGCTAGCCAGAGCAGAGAGAGACAGATGCAGACAGAAACATGCCGTGGGATTTAGCCCTGGGAAATCACATTTAGATGTTGGATAGAGGAGGATGAACCAGCAAAGACTGTGAGGAATGGCCAGTTGGGTAGAGAGAAAACCAGGAGAAAGTAATAATTTGGAAACTAAGAGAAGTAAATTTCTAGAAGGAAAGAGTAATCAACTAAATATGTGAACTCTGTCAGATGAAGTATCCAGTGGACTTGGGAACATGGAAGTCATTAACGAGCAGTTTCAGTAGAGCAGCAGGTGTGTTGAAGAGTGAATAGGAAGTGAGGAAGTGCCATTGATTATAGACAGCCCTCCTGAGGTGTTTTTTGTGCAGTGAGATAGACATGTGGGTCCATAACTGGAAAAGACTGTAGGTTTAAGGGAGGTCTTTTGGGTTTTTTTTGTTTTGTTTTTTATTTGTTTTGTGGGGATGTGGAACCTTTTTGGTGTGTTTTATTTTTTAAGATGGGAAATATCAGGGCAGGTTTATATGCTGATGAGAGTGATCAAATGAAGAGAGCAATTGCTAATAAAAGGTAAAGAAGGGATACTTGAAGGAGTAAAGTCTTAGGGAGAGGGAAAGGAAATTGGTTTCAGAACATGAGTTTGTTGACCTAAGATAGAAAAAGGGGCACTTTCAGCAAACTCA